TCAGAGAAATTCTCTAGTTTGGCTTGAACTCAATTTTCTCTGAGTTGGTCCCAAGAAATTCTCTGGTTTGGACTAAATTTTCTTTGGTTTGGTCTAGAGAAATTCTTTGGTTTGGATTGCAATTTCTCTGGATTGATTTGAGGGACCTTACCTAGGCTCTCTAGGACTCAAGGTGTGTGATTAACGTACTACAAGGATCTTGTGCTCTGATACCAATCTGTCACGCCCCCAAACCGCCCCTAGTAGTTTGGTGCCGTGATGGCCAGTAACCCGAGGTTACCGAAGGCCGTCTTACAAAAATCACACACAATCAGAGTATAAAATATGGGGCTTACGAGTGCGGAAGCAATATATATATATACTTATACAAAATCTAAATAGTCCATGAGAGCCGTGCATAAGTCCAATGGAGTGTCATACATCAAACATCTTTACAAGTCTTACAATTTAGATACAACAAGAATGAGATACAAAACACATCCTGACCAAAAGGCTTCTCAAGCCGACATATGCCAAAACAAACAAAGAAAACATAAGGTGTAACTCATTCATAGCATATTTATTACATTGAAGACATAAGGAATTTAATTGAAGACACTTGATCATTTTTCCATCTAAAACTCCAAAGACTATAATTGTCCTTAATGTAGTCAGGGAAGGTTACAAAACTACTGCGTAGAAGCCACCTATATAACAATGGTGCATGTTTTGATGACATCATCTCGTGTCTGCATCTTTGGCCACCATGGGTCGTCTTTCTTGTCACCATGGCCCTCATTCCGGAGCTCTGTCCACCACGACTGGAGTTCGGAGTCACCTCGAACTGACTCATCGATGGAGTAGTAAAAAAAGCAATATTCACGAAATCTTGCAACTCAGATCGCGGTGGTTCAATTTAGATCGCAGCATTCCGGCGATGACGTAGTAGAAATAGAGGCGAAGGTGAAGATCGAAATGTGCACAAAGAGAGAGGGTTTGGTTTGGATAGAATGAAGATCGGAAAGAGAGAGAGGAAGAGTCAAATTTCTCTAATCTGATATATGGGTGTGGGTTTAGGGACCTAGACATCAAAAAATAATATTGTGGATCTTTTCCATTACTAAAAATAGAGAGGGACCTTAGACTAATTTTTTCTTTTTTTTTTTAACTGAATGCCAAGTAACACTGAAACCAAATAACCAATATTTTTGTCTTAAGTAGTCAAAATATAATTTATTTATTTTATTATTATTATTATTTTGTTGAAAACAAAAGGAGCTTTAATGTTATGTAAATGTTGGCTTTTTTAGCTTTCGAAGGTTAATTTTGTAATTTTAAGCGTGCCAGCAAAGATCAATCAGTTCTTACAGAAAATTAATTGCCAACCAATTATTAGATAATTGTGTTTTAGTTCTCTCAGCCTCAATGAAAAGGACTTTTACTGGTGGCTTGTTCAGGAGAATTTAGTAAATAACAATTAAGTGAAAAATAATTTCAAATTTTCATTAAGTAAAATGAAAAACTTACAATGATCTGACCCAGCCTCATAGAGGTTTATAGCAACAAGCTATTTGAAATTACTCCTATGAATGAAGTGCAGTACAGGAATTTGAAGTACAGAAATGTAATGAACTATAAAAACTAGAAGAGAAAACAAAGTAAATAAAACTGATTTTTTGATCTAAGTCTGGATGCTTCATTCTGGGGCCTTCTTTGCTATTTATAATTCTCAATAATAACCGTCGAAGTGTACTTCTAACCGTCGAAATGTCCTTCCACGATTGTTGAATATGTTCTCTTACAGTCAGTCCCACTACGCCATCTTTGCAGTTAGGCTTCCCTTCTGATTTTGAATTTAAACTTTGTGAGTAACCGGTAGGTCAGATCACTTTATATCCTTCAATTGTTCCAGTGCTACATAGATCTATTATTATCAATACGGGATGACACATGTCTGACTATGGTTGGCAACCTGTATTAACTCTCCAAATTGCCCTCTTCATGCCACGTGTTGAATTGTGATTGGTTTTTACAAATTATACAGCCAACATTACCCCCCGCACTAATATACCCAATACTTGGTGATATTAGTGGATCAAGGCACTTTACCCACGTCCTAGGACATGCATGGGCTTTACATCTTCTTAGAACTGCAACCGACGTCCATCATTGCAATATTTGTACTGAATTAAATTCTCTTCTATGTCTTGAACATTTTTCACTATCAGAGCATTCGAAAAGGCTGATACAGTCCTCATGGCCAAGCAAACCATTACTTACATTGATCGAGCATACGAGGAGTCTATGGAAGATGATTATAGGCCTCAAAAGAATCTCAATGCATTTATTGATTACACATGTTGTCCCAGATAGGCAACCCAAGAGGGGGGTAAATTGGGTTATTAAAAATTTCACAATATTAAAATTAACACAATATTCAGAATTATAATAAATAAAAAAATAGAATAATAATTATCAATATAAAAGTAAGAGAGATAGGGAGAGAAAATCAAACACTGCGATTTATAGTGGTTCGGCACGCCAGGCCTACGCCCACTCCCCAAGGAACCTCCTTGAGAATTTCGTTACTATCAATTGAATAAATACACTACTAAGCTTGTGGATTTGGTACAGGACTTACTCTTATCTATTGAGCCTCACTCAACAATAAAAGCCTTACCCTTACAAAATCTCTCACAAAAATAAGGAATAAGAATAAGTGGTACTTAAACCCTCTTTTACAATAATTCTCTCACAAAGAGTAGATATGAAAGTGTAAGAACAAAGGCTAGACTTAGATCTGAAAGTGAAAGAGCAGAATACAATTTGAAGCTCACAGAAAATTTTCTTTTCAAATTCTTGATTTTTCTCCACACACAACACTTCTATTTATACACAAAAATATACCCGTTAGACGCTTCTTGCTGACGTCATGGCTTACATAAGCACGCTCATTGCTGACATCATGGATGACATTAGTTTGGAAGAGAATCACGTGTAAGAAAATTTGCACTCTTGCAAATTTGAACATCTTTAGGTATTAATCAAAAGTGTACAAAAAGGAAAAGAAAAATTAATTTGAATTATATCTTGTATGACTTTCCACATGCTAATATTTAATGTGTTCATATGCTAATATTCAATGTTTTCACACACTAATATATATGATACAATCAATGTTGTGTTAAAAAAATATAATTGCTCCGTGATGTATACTATTTGTATTATATGCATTATATATATAAAGTTATATATATATATAATGTTCTAATCAAATATTTGCATACACAGAAAAATCTCTTTAAATAATATTTATGATGGATCTGAAAGTATATACCCTCTTTAAAATATTGTATATGTTGTAGAGATTTTAAACTAAATATATTCTACCACTCCATATTAATTTTGTCAAAACAAGACAACCTATCAATATCAAATTTGTCAAAATAATACAACCAATCCATCATTTTTGTCAAAATAATATAATTAATCAATTTTTAATTTGGTCAAAAAGTGAATAGTGATTAGCCTCAATTTTCAAAAAGTGAATAGTAAAGTTTTCAAAAATATTTTTATTTAACTAATATTTAACAAATATATATATTTTAAAAAGATAATATTTTGTGTCAAATAAATATGTACAATAAAAAAATTTAAATTGTTACAAATAATATTTTAGACATCATCAAAATTAAATAATATGATTAGAAACGGAAACTCTCACAACCCGAGAGCCTAGGAAACAAGCAAACAAACAATAACTCTCATAACTCGAGAGGCTATTTTTAGTGGTTTTTTAATTTTTTTTTACAAAAAAAGCATGTAAAATAGTAGAAAGAATGGGTTGACTTTTTGAAGTGAATTTTTGATTTTTTTGTATTGTTCCCTAACAACACCTAAGTAGCCTTTAAAATTTACCAAGGTTGGCACCACAACTATCCACAGGTACAAGGTTTTAAATGGCCAAGTGAATACACATTTACAATTTGAGAGAAATATTTTTGCAATTTTTTTGGAGATGATGTACCTGCAAAGCAGCAACCAATCACGAGGCCATGAAAATGTTTAGAAGTTTTGGTTTGTTCCCTAACAACACCTAAGTAGCCTTTAAAATTTACCAAGGTTGGCACCACAACTATCCACAGGTACAAGGTTTTAAATGGCCAAGTGAATACACATTTACAATTTGAGAGAAATATGTTTGCAATTTTTTTGGAGATGTTGATGTACCTGCAAAGCAGCAACCAATCACGAGGCCATGAAAATGTTTAGAAGTTTTGGTGATTTTAACAAGTATCCATCCAAGTGCTGAACCAATAATAAATGTGAGGAGGATATTTAGAGGCATGAACCACCTACACATTAAACCCAAAAATTAAATAGCAAAATAAAGAGGAATTCAAAAAAAAAATAAGAAGAAGAAGAAGAAGAAGGTAAATAGAGAATATACTCACAAAGAAACTATATCGGTTGTTTTGATTGTATTGGACAGATTGCTAACAATAAGTGCAGGGGGTGAACACATAGAATACCAGCTGTTCACAACCATGAAGTAATTGGATTAAAAAACCAAATTTTTGAATCAATCCTAGCTTCAATAGCAACATGTGCTTTTTTGCTAATTTACTGGTTACTAATTAGATGTAATCGGTATAAAACCTTGATGTCATTTTCTTACACTGTTATATAGAATGAATTGCTATTGAAATAATGTACAATGCTTTCTTCACATTCCCAATGCTCCACTACCATATGATTGCTATTGAAATAATGATATTGCATTGATTTTGTAATACTTAAATTCTTTTACATGTTTTCTCTTGACATGAGTTGGCTTATAGTCATGCACCAATATATTATTAGAGTTTTGTTCTACATTGTTGTTAGTATCTTATAGTTCTTGCAAAATAAAGTTTAGTTGTTCTTGTCAATCATAACTTACAAATACTTGTTATTGATATATTCATTTTTTAATGTTCTAGAAACACGTTGGACATTTGTTTAGTCGAGATTGTTTACTTATGGATAAGACATGGATGTATCAATCAAGATTAAGTGATGCATACCAGAAAGGAGTTGACATGTTTCTGGATTTTGCATTTACTAATGCAAGTTATGAGGATAAGATCATATGTCCATGCATCAAGTGTGGACTTACACTTCCCGTCACTCGGTCAGTTGCATATGATCACTTAGTATGTGATGGCTTCACAAAGGGTTACACTAAATGGGTTTTACATGGTGAAGCATCATCTGTTGCTACAACAGGTCTTGATATGCACATGCAGAATAGGCCACAATTAAATATTGATACACATGGATTAGTACACGAGGCATTTGGAATCTCAAATGACGATGATAGAGTCGATGAAGACAACCCTGAAGATTTGGGAGATAAACCAAATCCACAAGCAGAGAAGTTCTACAAGTTGATACATGATGGACAAAAAGAGCTTTATCCACAATGTAGGAATTTTACAAAGCTCTCATTCATCCTTCAATTATTTCATATCAAGAATTTAGGCGGATGGAGTAATAAATCGTTCACCATGTTATTAGAGTTATTGAAGGAGGCATTCCCAGAGGGTGTAACACTACCTAATACTATTCATGAAGTTGAGCAGATAGTCACGGAGTTAGGACTTAGTTATGAGAAGATTCATGCATGTCCCAATGATTGCATGTTGTATAGGAATGAGCACAAAAATGATTCTGAATGTTATGTTTGCCATACATCTAGGTATGTAACAGAGCAAAATGATTCAGGCAGCGAGGCATCCTCTAAAAAAGGCAGCTATAAAACACCTTCTAAGGTTCTACATTACTTTCCTCTGATACCAAGGCTACAAAGGTTATTCATGTCATCCAAAACAACATCATCTATGAAGTGGCATAAAAAATGTCGCACCGATGATGGTTGTATGAGACATCCTGCCGATTCTCTAGCTTGGATGACTTTTGACCACCTACATCTTGATTTCGCAACAGATTGTAGAAATGTCAGACGTGGGTTGGCGTGTGATGGTGTGAACCCTTTCAGAACATTGAGTAGCACGTATAGCACCTGGCCTGTAATTCTTACACCGTATAATTTGCCTCCATGGATGTGTATGAAACAGACCAATTTTCTATTATCATTGATTATTCCTGGTCGTAGTGCACCTGAAAATAATATTGATGTGTATTTGGAACCTTTAATAGATGAATTAAAGGAATTATGGGTGGATAAAGTAGAGACATATGATGCATCAATTAAACAAAATTTCCAATTGCGTGCAGCATTAATGTGGACTATCAGCGACTTCCCTGCTTATGCTTATTTGTCAGAGTGGAGTACTAAGGGGAAGTATGCATGCCCTTCATGCCACAAAGACACATGCTTCCAGTGGTTGAAGCATGGCCGAAAACATTGTTACATGGGTCATCGTCGATTCTTGGACAAACATCATGCATTTCGAGATGATGAGCGATCTTTTGATGGTACTAAAGAAAAAAGAACTGGACCCAATCCTTTAACTGGTTCTATGGTATTGGATATGTTACATGGCTTCAATATCACTTATGGAAAGATGAGTACTAATCCAGAATTACCATATAATTGGAAGAAAAGAAGCATATTCTTTGAATTACCATATTGGAAGGATAATCTAGTGCGTCACAATCTTGATGTGATGCACATTGAGAAAAATGTATGTGAGAGCTTGCTTGGAACACTACTGAATTTAGAGGGGAAGACAAAGGATAATCTAAATGCACGTCTTGACTTGAAACTTCAAGGTATAAGGCCTGAACTCCATCCAAAAGAAAATGCAGCAAATAAAACCATCTTGCCTCCTTCTTGTTTCTCATTAAAGAAACAAGAAAAATATGTTTTTTGTAAATTTTTGAAGACTGTTAAAGTTCCTGATGGTTATGCAGCGAATATTTCACGATGCATCGACTTAAAGCAACGTAGAATCTTTGGACTTAAAAGTCATGATTGCCATATTTTGATGCAACAATTACTCCCTTTAGCAATTCGAGGAATGTTGAGTTCACATGTAACTTCACCTTTGATTGAGTTGAGTAATTTCTTTCGAGAGTTATGTTCTAAAGTTGGTTTGGCACAAGACTTTATGCGTCTTGAAAGGCAAATTCCGATAACACTTTGTAAGTTTGAAAAAATATTTCCCCCTAACTTTTTTGACATTATGGTGCATTTGGTGGTTCACTTAGCATCTGAGGCTAGATTAGCAGGACCTGTGCATTATCGTTGGATGTATTCTGTTGAGAGGTAAAGTTTATATTAAATTACATATTTCTTTACCATCATTATTATATTTTACTTTTGTTATTATCGAACATCATTCAAAATTTTGTTTTTTGAACTTACCAAAACATAGGTACTTGAGTAGATTAAAGTCATATGTGCGAAATAGAAGTCGACCGGAGGGTAGTATGGCAAAAGGATACCTTGCAAATGAATGCTTGACATTTTGCTCGAGGTATATGGAAGGTGTTGAGACACGATTCAACCGGATGTCTCGAAATTATGATGAGGGGGGTAATGGTACCGAAGGATTATCTATTTTCTCAATGCCTGGCAGACCATTAAGTAAGGGCATGATAGACACAATGGATGATGGCACAAAAGAAAAGGCACATCGATATGTGCTATTTAATTGTGAGACAGTCAACAAATTTATTGAGTAAGACACTCCACATCTGTAATCAATTATTATTATTATTATTATTATTATTATTATTATTATTATTATTATTATTATTATTATTATTATTATTATTATTATTATTATTATTATTATTATTATTATTATTATTATTATTATTATTATTATTATTATTATTATTATTATTATTATTATTATTATTATTATTATTATTATTATTATTATTATTATTATTATTATTATTATTATTATTATTATTATTATTATTATTATTATTATTATTATTATTATTATTATTATTATTATTATTATTATTATTATTATTATTATTATTATTATTATTATTATTATTATTATTATTATTATTATTATTATTATTATTATTATTATTATTATTATTATTATTATTATTATTATTATTATTATTATTATTATTATTATTATTATTATTATTATTATTATTATTATTATTATTATTATTATTATTATTATTATTATTATTATTATTATTATTATTATTATTATTATTATTATTATTATTATTATTATTATTATTATTATTATTATTATTATTATTATTATTATACATACTTTTTTCACACACTCACAAATCTTTTATATGGCATACAGACAACACCGTAGACTTGTTTCCATACAAAATCCACGTCTTCGTGAAATGGCCATTGATCGGGAATAAAAATCACTCTAGAGGATCCTTACTCTTTATAGCATAGCATGCAGTGTTTACAGCTTCCGCCCAAAAATATTTAGGCAAATTATTTTCACAAAGCATAGTACGAGCTATTTCTTCAAGAGTTCTATTTTTTCTTTCAACACACCGTTTTGTTGAGGAGTCTAGGGCTGAGATATTATGATCTATTCCTAAAGTCATCACAAAACTTAATAAAATCATCATTTTCAAATTCTCTACCATGGTCACTTCTATACTACAAATATTAAGAATTTTCTCATTTTGAATTCTTTACAAAGTTTTGAGAAATTATAAAAAGCTTCATTTTTGTGTGCTAAAAATTAATACCAATGTATTCTAGTATAATCATCAACACAAACAAGGGCATAAGATTTTCCTCCTAAACTTAATGTTCTAGATAGTCCGAATAGATCAATATGCAAGAGTTGAAGCGGTCTAGTAGTTGAAACGATATTTTTGGATTTAAAAGAAATTCTAGTTTGTTTTCCAAATTGGCATGCATCACAAAGTTTATCTTTTTCAAAAATAATTTTTGGTAAACCTATGACTAACTCATTTTTTTGAAAGTTTGGAAATTAAATCAAAATGAGCATTCCTAATCTTCTATGCCAAGCCAACCATTATCATTTATAACAGATAAACATTTAATATTAAAATAAGAAGATAAATCATGCAAATCAAACATATATACATTCTCATGTCTATAACCTATAAATAAAGTTTTGTTTCTAGGGTGTTTTCAATAGTGCAATGAGTTTTCTCAAAAATAACTCTATAACCTTTATCACATAATTGACTAATACTAAGCAAGTTATGTTTTAAACTTCAACAAATAAAACATTTTCAATAATAGGAGAGGGTTTTACCAATACTTCCACACCAATGATTTTACCCTTGCTATTGTCGCCAAAAGTCACATATCCGCCATCCTTTGGTTGGAATGTGGCGAACATAGCTTTATTTCCAGCCTGTACTCGAACATGCACTGTCGAGATACCATCTATCGTTACTGGATTTTGTCCTTGAAAATA